ATATATATATATATATATATATATGTAGAAATGAAGACTATTTATAATTAGCACAGTACACTTTGTGTAGCACTTGGTTTACACACCTTGGTAGAGCACTTTTCATTGTTTTTTGCACAATATTGTGAACTATTGCACAGTCTCTGAACAGGGAATTTATTTATATTTTGCACTGTATTGTGATTCCATTCACTATTTTAAAGGAGATAATTGGTACTTTATACTTTGATATATTTGTTCATCATTGTAGAAGCGCAGTGCACTATTTGCATTATATTGTTAAGTCTCTTTATTTATAGCACCGCGGCTGATTAGATTGTACATTCACACCTATTCTTAGCGCCATTTTGACAATTGGTAATAACCACTATATACAGTATCTTATAGGGAGGTGTCGCCCCTGTTAGACAGGGGCTAAGCAGGGAAACATGTCTGGGTTCTGGACAACAGTCTCCAATATAATCATATAAAGGAAACAAAAACACAAAGACGAATGACTCATGAAAATCTGCAGCATGCAATACAGTTGTTTGGCAATAGTGAGTTACATAAGGTGCTTCTATGAGCCAAAAAGGAATTGTGGAGAAAGAATAGACAGATTAAAGTGACATTAAAGTCACATCCCCCCTCCCCCATGCCTCCCAACCTCCCTGGCGGTATGATTTTTTATTTTGTAATGTAATTTTTTGGTCTGTTTTTTTTTCTGAATTGTTTTCGTCTTTGTCGTTTTTTTTTTTAATATGCCGCTGGTTCCGCCCCCCTGCGACGCGTACGCTCGCAAGGGACGTAACCCAGAAGCCGGCATCGGCCGCAGAACACAGAAAGCAGTAAATGCTATGCGGCATTCCCGAGTGTAGCTCGGGGTTACCGCTTATGGTATGGAAAAGTAACCCCGAGCTACACTCGGGAATACCGCCAGGGAGGTTAAATGATGCCTCTTGATCTGATCATCTTCTTCTTTCTAGTAGTTTTCAGGAGTCCCTCCAGCATTAGTGCTGGTCTCTGATCCACTGAAGACTGCTGTCTCTTCCTGTCCTACAGTGTCTGTCCGCATGCACACTCCAGACTGCCTGCATTGACTTACACTGTGTCTCTCCTGTTCTCACGGATGAAGATCTCTACTGCGCATGTGCCCACCCTATGATCCTTCACGGCCGCTTGAGAATCTTCAGATCTTCGGACGGGAGTGAGCGGCGGAGACAGAGGTAAGTAATAACCTTTTTTTATGTCTTTGCATATATCTACTGCTTCCTAGCAGTAGCTGTATCCAATACAAAAGAGTTTAATTTGACGTCAAGCTTTTATTTTAAATATATATTTATACCATTTTTGCTCCAGGGTGCATGTTAGGATAACACAGATCCAGCACTGTATCATTAAAGTGACACTAAACTCAGGAGATACATTTTTAAGATCCCTAACTATTAACAATGCTGTATCTTATTTGTGTATCACTCAGCTGTAGATCCTCAAATCATCTCTGAATTGGTGCTGACACTGTCCTTCCTTCTGGAGGGTGGCTACTTCTGTTCCCCATGGACCCTGTGTGTGTTGTAAAGTAATCACTGCTCCAAGCTCACTCCTGTGATGGACTACAATCTCACGTTTAGTTTACTAATTTGTATTGAACTTGTAGTCCTTCACGGGAGCGAGATTGGAGCGGTGACTACTTTACAACACACACAGGGACCATGGGAAATAAAAGTAGCCAC